GCTCTGCCAATTCAAATACAGGGAAGTGCATTCATGAGAGAGTGAGGGTAGAGAGAGAAGGTCCCCGAAAGAGTGGATTAAAGCTCTCAGATTAGATGGCATCTGGTGACCTCAGCAGCACAGAGAGCAGTCAGCATGGTGTATGTGTTGGGTGTGTGTGTGTGTGTGTGTGAGAGAGAGATAGAGAGAGAGAGAGAGAGAGAGAGAAAGATTATCACCACCAGCAGAATGTGCATTAGAGATTGGTTCTGGTTCTCTTTGTATACACTCTGTGTGTGTGTGTGTGTGTGTGTGTGTGTGGGTGTGTGTGTGTGTGTGTGTGGGTGTGTGTGTGTGTGTGTGTGGGTGTGTGTGTGTGTGTGTGTGGGTGTGTGTGTGTGTGTGTGTGGGTGTGTGTGTGTGTGTGTGTGGGTGTGTGTGTGTGTGTGTGTGTGTGTGTGTGTGTATAGTGGTGTAGCGGGTGGATTGTTAATCCTAATCCACTCGTGAATGTACATGCTGAGGACCAGCAGGCCATTAGCCGCTATTTTGTGTTTGTGCATGTGTGTATGTGTGTGTGTGTATGTGTGTGTGTGTGTGTGTGTGTGTATGTGTGTGTTTGTGTGTGTATTTGAATGTAAGTATATGAATACATGGTCATGTTTACCAGAGTGTGTTTAAGTCTGTGCTTGAATGTGCACATGCATGTGTGGATGTACTGGTATGTCTGTGTGTAATCTGAGAGTGAATGGAGGGTTAGAGGGCCATTAACCAGAGCATTAGCCCTGACTGCAGACAGACCGAGGAAACAGAGTGAGGAGAGGGGTGGTGTGTGTGTGTGTGTGTGTGTGTGTGCGTACGTGTGTGTGTATGCATGGAGGAGAGCTGATGGTTTGAGGATTTCAGGGGGAAAGGGACAATGGGGGTGAGGATTTAGCAGCGAGGGTGAGGGGGATTGAGTGCATTAGTGAGTGCATGTGTGTGTGTGTGTGATTGTGTGTCGAAAGGATTGAGGGGAGCTGACCCATAAAAAGCAGACAGACACACCCTGAGCAAGAGTCAGCCGTCCCATCATCCCTCCTCCCTATTATTCAAAACGTACTTAACAAAACATTTAACACTGAATTAATACACCAGTGTTGAAAACATGAATATTTGTACAATAAATCAGTTAAGTTAAGTTAAGACATCATCTTGAGTCAACCCTGTCTCCTAGAAATTACCTTTACATACAACAAATTTTCCACAGCAAATACATTTTGAAGGAATTTGTGACTGGATCATGTTTTCATGAGGAAACGTTCATTTATGTAATTGGCAAGTTGCAAATATGTTGCTGCTTATTGTTTTCCATCAAAATATCCAATCTTGCCATGCAACATCCATGTGTTGTTGAGGCTCTGGTGTGACAGTCATGTGCTTTGTGTGTCCACCATCTAAACCGGACCTCTTGCTGACTCTGCTCCCATAAATAAATGTAGCTCTTCAGTCATTCAATAAATTAAAATGAATGTAATACAGATTACACTTTACTTAACATTTACTTAAAAAACGACACCTTGATCCAGGATTGCATAATAATTATTAGCCAGTCTCAAATCTTCCTTTTTTTTTTGTAAAGTATTGGAATCATTTGTGTCTCAGGAGCTTTCATCGCACTTGTGTAATAATAATCTTTTCAAACTGTTCCAGTCTACCTTCAGGACCTGTCACGCCACTGAGACAGCGCTCACTAAAGTAGCAAATGATCTTCTGCTTCCTATGGATTCAGACGCCACCTCTGTGCTCCTCTTACTGGATCTCAGTGCAGCTTTTGATAGCATAAATCATTGTATTCTCCTAGAGCAACTTGTTCCTGGCCTGGCTCTCACTTGGTTAAAGTCCTACTTATCTGACAGAACACAGTGCGTCTCCTGTAGTAACGATAGATCAACATACCCTGCTGTGAAATATGGAGTACCCCAGGGCTCTGTTCTTGGCCCTCTGCTTTTCTCTCTATATATGTCACCTTTTGGCCAAATTATTTGCAGTCATGGAATTCATTTCCACTGTTATGCTGATGATACTCCAGTGCTCAGAACGTCCTCTGTTACCTGGGGGGTAAAACAATTGGTCAGGAAGTTGGGGCCTGTATATATATAGACATGCCCCTGCCACTACTACTAAAACACAATTCCTACCCCCTGACACACTGGCATTGACGTATGACCAGCACTTTCTCCAACATGTCTATACAATGGCTGGAGAATGAGGTTTCCAAAAGTAGAGTAGAAATGAAACATGCTTTGAATTATGGAGAGAGACAATTCAGTCCATGTTATGTTGACGTTTTTGTGAACGTGATAATGTGTGCACTGCATATGAGTTTGCTGGTTGTTTCTGGCATGGCTGCCCAAAGCGCTCCAGTGCCGGGCATAAAAATTCTGTTAACGACATAGCATTTGGTTTTCTTTACAGACAGTTTAAGGAAACATCGAATGCTCTTAGACAGACACACAAGATGCATGTAAGGGTAATGTGAGTGGGACCATGCCACTTCAGGACCTTTTGAAAACATATATGGAAACCTGAAAGACATGACCTATGAAAAGTTCTGTTTAGGGGGGGGGGGGTTGCACCAATGCGTACAAGCTACACCACAAAGTGACTTATGGTGAGAAAATACATTAAAACCACTTTGTATATGTACAGGCATGCAAAAGCTATCCAGTTGGACGTCCTAAAATAATCTTTCACCATTTTGAACTGATCAAAAATTACTTTGGGATGATAAAATGTACTGTGCCACCTCCCAGGGGCTTGTATTACCCTGTACTTCCATACCGCTGTAACAACAAGCTAATTTCAAAATCAGACCAGTGGGTGTAACCACCCTGATCTAGACAGGACCCTGTCTGGAGTCTGGGTCAGTTTTGATTACTGAAAGCTGTGGAATAGGGCTATGTTGTGACCAAAATTGATGAGATGTTGCATTTTGCTATTGAGTTGTATTGCATTATATGTATGGTGTTTCTACTGTTTTGTCCCCGTCTGTTTATATCAATGAGAGTTAACTGAATAACAGAAACACCTCTCTGTATAATCAGTACCATACTGTTACAGTTGAATCAACACCTCTATAAAATGAGATGTACCTAATAACCTGCCACCTGAGTGTATGTCTGCCATATAAATGTAGAGGAGTAAAAAGCAAAACACTACCCTGAGAGTAGGCAACATCTGAAACAAAGGTGCTGTAATCCCCAGCTGTTCATATTGTTTTGTTGTACACACTAGCTTATGTTGCCATATAAATTTTCCTCACAGCACACTGCGGATTAATATTGGGAGGGAAGTGAGAGGGATGAGATGGATAAAAGGAGAAAAGCCAGGGATAGACAGAGAGGGGAAGAGAAAGTGAGAGACCAAGAAGCACTGACAGAGTGAAAAAAGTGAGAGCCCTCGTATATCTCCCGTTTTCTATTATTCATGAGTTACAAGAAGCAGTGGAGGGGAAGGAGGAGAAGAGATTGTAGCTTTCCGTCTTTGCCTTGAATGTAGCCCTCATCTGCCCCCTCTGTCTCTGCCTCCTATCTTTTAATCTCTTTCACTTCCTCTCCAGGTCTCTGCTTCTGTCATTCATTTATCTGCCTTTGTCTTCTCTTGCAGATTTGAACTTTAAAGTTTTGCTCTGGGAGGCTGAAAAACTTAGAGTAATCAAATTAAAACCTGACGCTCAGAGGCAAAGAACTGCAGTTGCGGAAAGACTGAATAAAAGAGAGAGGCAGGACAGGAGGCTAAAATTCTGAAGGCTAGCACTCTTGCTGCTAGCTAAAAATAGCTATTTCATGACTGCCTGCCATGATAGCTAATTAACTGTTATGCTAGACAGCCGCCTGACTTTCCATGACCATGAATGTTAATATGGTCATAAATATCCCCAACAGTGATATTTCTACAAAAATATATTTCTTTGAAGTGTAACGAAGAATTTCTGAGGATCTATTTTGCGACGATATCCTGGAAGCAGAGCGGCTCTAAGAGGCTAAACTCTAAAACTAGTTCACTGTAGATTTTGGACTTTGGAGCATCAGATGAAAGCCCTGCAAAAATGAAGGGAAAGTGAAGCGAAAAGTGGTTGAACAAGATGCTAGAAATTTGAAGGCTAGCACTCTTGTCTCAATCTGGGAAAGACGATAAGTAATTTTTTGAGGTATTTTTTGCCTTTATTCAGATGGTGAAGTGAGAGAGACAGAGGAAAGTCAGGGAGAGAGAGCGAGGGGACGACATGCAGCAAAGGGCTATGGGTCGGATTCAAAACCATGGCTGCTGCAGGTAGGACTAAGCCCATGTGGTACGCACTCTACCAGGTGACCCACTGAGGCTCCCCTGGAAAAGACTATTTCTAGACATTTATAGATATATGTTACATAATCCCAAAGTCTGCTAATATATGTTCATATAATAAACAGTAGAGTCCAAAAGTCTGAGACCACTTTCTCCAGAATGTGAAGATAGACATGTTTAAAATGACAAATTGATTAAAAAAATCAACATGTTGTTCATTCTGCGACTTAAAGAGTTTCTATCTGAGTTACCATAGCCTTTCTGTCATCTCCAACTAGTCTAGCCGTTCTCCTCTGACCTCTCACCTCAACATCAACATCACTACTGGATGCTTTTTATTTTTTGGCTCCGCTCTGAGTAAAAACTCTAGAGACTGTTGTGTTTGAAAATCCCAGGAGATCAGCAGTTACAGAAACACTTGAACCCATCGGCCCGTCTGGCACCAAAAATCATGTCTTAGTCAAAGTCACTGAGATCACATTTTGATGTTTGATGTGAACATTAACTGAAGCTCCTGACCTGTATCTGCAGGATTTTGTGCAGCACACTGCTGCCACATGATTGGCTGATTGGATAATTGCATGAATAAGCAGGTGTACAGGTGTTCCCAATTAAGTGTGTGATGAGTGTTGTGGGACATATAGAGAGGTGCATACAAAAACAAAACAAGGCAGACAACCAGGCTGTCTAAAAATCTTCTACTTTATTCAATAAGATAAATGTTTTTGTAAAACATTCAATAAAAAATGATTTTTAATTTATTGCTCATTGTCATCTTTACGCTAAGGACTTGATCTGATGCATAATAATTTTTCCAAAGCACTCTCACAAGGAATATGTTGCTAGATATTTAGACAAGATTTTTATGCTGTCATTATAATAGTAATAACATACATACATACGCACGTTCTGATTATATAAAAACAAACCAAACAAGTAAAGTTACAGTAGCAAGACAGAAAAAAAAAACAGACCAGGGACAAGCAGAATCAGAAATCCTCTCACGTACTTCTTAAGTTTGTTTTGGGCCGTTGGTTGTGACACAGCATTTATTGCTTTCCCAGTGGTGATGGTGTAAGAACTTAAAGAAAGTGTTAAATCTTTAAACCTAGAAATCATGTTGGAGTGTAACAAACTTAAGCCAAACACCGGAAAAGCAGAAAATGTGAACTTCTTTGCACCGTAGAACCCATTTTGGAAGTCCCTCGTCATGCATTAGTTATGAAATTACTAGGTTATATTTTAAAAACCAACTAGTACATTGAACTTTCCAACAGCTAAACTATTAAATAAAATCAAAGAAAACAAAGTTCAAAATAAGGGCGGTGCCTCTAATTGAACCATGGGACTTCTAAAATGGCTCCATTTGTAGTTCATGTTGCAAACAGCATATGTTTAGAGTTGCACTGGACATCATAAATTCACCGGCCTCACTTCAGGCTCAGTGACACAATTTTACATTAAAAGTTTTTATTTTGTTCCCTAAAAGTATTTTAAGAAATGTGAAACATGTCAACGCCTTTCATACATGTTTTACGAGTTACATGCAAGCAGTAATTAAGATAAATAATTTATTAGCACATCGTGGATTTGATTGTTTCAAAAGAGGAAAATTGAATATTTGCAGTTACACATAAGAAGTCCTCCGAGCACTGAGCAGCCTTTAGGGAACTGGGACATCTTGAAGAAAATGTACATGAGTCTCATTACAGTACTGAGATGATGTGAGGCTCCGCTGTCCCCCAGTCTTTCAGAGAATCCCACATCCTTGCCACTCCTCCCCTCATACACATTCTTACTAAGCAGTGTGTGTGTGTGTGTGTGTGTTGTGTGTGTATGTGTGTGTGTGTGTTTGTGTGTGTGTGTGTGTGAGATGCAGTTGCATGTGTGTGTGCATCATAATCCACATGGAAGCCTAATGTCCAAATTGAAGCACTTTGTTTGAAAATATGCACACACACACAAACACACAGTAACACAGCCACACACACACACACAGACACACACACACACACACACACACACACACACACACACACACACAGACCAGCTCAGAGGTCAGTGGTGATGTTCAAACCTCATGCCATTATATTTACATTCTTATATTAAGGAAACTGTGTACAAGGCAGTAGTAGATGTGATCTGGCAAGGTGTAGTCGTTTTTTGTTTTTGTTTTTGTTTTTTTTGGTCTTTGTTTTTTCCAAGTTGAGGAAGAGGGAGTGCAGACGTAGGAAACAAAAACTACAGGTGAGAGAGAGGTCTCATCAATAAATAAATAAATAAATAAACCAAGTCTTGATCAATAAGTTAATAAGTTAAAGGGGTCTATCTGTACATGTGTGGAAAGAGATAGTGTGTGTACGGTTGTATGGGTGTTGAGTGTGTGTGTGTGTGTGTGTGTGTTTATATGTGTTTGTGTGTTGCCTTAGGGTCTGTAGCTAAGCAGGAGAGGGAGCAGAAAACTCAAACCTCCTCCAGAGACCCAGAGCTCCACTCTGCTCTGACAACACAAAGAGCTGCGATGACTCTCTCTGACCTCTTGACACTGAAGCAAAAAAACAAAAAAAAAACAGCACTGGTTGCAGATCTCTCTCTCCAGAATGTAAATTTGATAACCATGCATTACGAGTTGAAGGTAGCATTGAAAGCTGAAAAACGGCGCGACTAATGTTGCTGTCGCGGCGAACTCTTCTTGGGGTTCATGCACGTTGCCTGTTCCACGTAAAGGCTTCAGCTGTTTTGGTAGAGATCGTTGGCAGTGCCGTTGATATTTTGTGTATATGTCAGACGTTCTCTCAAGATGTCAGTATGACTCAAATGAAGTGCCATGGGAGAAGGAGTGGGGCGTGTCCAACAAGTTACGTAACTTTCCAAAGCCGACATTGTACACCCAGAAACTAAGCAGGGTTTTAACCTTTCTCTCAAGATCTTGTTTTCATTCTTGCACTGTTTCCATCACTTCTCATGTGTACAACCAAATTCAACACCGTGGAAATATTGTCTGAAAAAGTTTGCACCATTACCCGCATTTTTGCCCCTCTCTAAGAGCAGGCGCTTCACCCTGACTTCGAGTCATGGCTGTTTGGAGCTACAAACACGTTTGTCTTCTTTTGTGTTCATGTGACACGACGTACGAGCTAGTTTCTAGCATACTGACATCTTTAGATAATTAATAAACTTGTTTCCATGTGCTAAATCCTTGGAGTTCATCTTTTTAAAAAAATCAGATCTGTAACAGTTGCATTTGTCAAATCAAGTTTGTGCTTAACATATTACAAGTGTAGTGTAATTAGTCAATAACAAACATGTTTATAATTAGTGAATGCACCATAAGAATCTATAAAGACTTAAAATTAATAGTAGGGATCATTCAAACTGCTACAATGGTTTACAGTATAGGGATATATAATGTATTAAAACTGCCACCATGCTGACTGGAAAATGGCTTGAATGCAGACAAAGACTGTGTTTACACTCAGTCATTTCATGCATCTTGGATGGATAGAAAATATCACAAAAGCTAAGTGTAGATGCAACCAAAGAGCATTCAAGATGGACGGAAATCGGATTGTTCAAACCACCTTAGAAGGTAAAATCAATATATACGATTCAGCTTCAGGTGCATTATTGATCGGCAGTAGAGCCCGATACATGCAGTAGAACTCTGATTCACATGTAGCCTGGGGAAACCATGACAGACTGCAATCAGATTCATGACCTGGGTGATGAAGCTAGTTATATATGTCGGTAAGTGTAAACAAAACAGTGTTAAATTGTATCTGGATTTAATCGAGATACAAAACACTCGCAGTTATAAGTGTGTGAATGATGATTGATAATGAAGAACAAGCATATTATATTTAGTTAAGGCAAGCAAATACATATGAAGACATTATGTATCATTAAATACTAGTCTTAATGTCCTTTATGTGCAGGTCCTCCTTTCTGACTTCATAAAACATTAGAACCATAGTCTGTAAACCAATATAAGCAAATCCTTGGTGTGTAAATACACTGTATGGACTAAAAATGATCCTCATTTAATTATAAATCATTATAGGGTTTCTTATGGACAGGTTAATTTAATTCTAATGAGGTTTTAACAACTTTATTGTAACTATTTTGTCAACCACAGACTTGAGCCGTCACCTTCAAGCTAAAAAAGTACCATAATTTTGTTTCAGTTTTATGTGTGGTAATATGGTTGATATCTCACTGTAGAACAAACCCCCTTCCCCCAGCAGATCTACAGTCAGTTTGGTATCGAGAATCTGACTCTACATTTTATTACAGCTCATTAATTCATCATAAATGGAAGAAATAAAAAGTGCTATGCTCAGAATGAAGAGTAAGAGTAGAGAAAGCTTGTGACTGGCAGCTGCATAAATAAATCGTTATGTATTCATATAGAGACATGTAGTAGGAGTATTGATCATTGTCGTAATATCATAGTAACGATGCATTGCCGTGGCAGGAATAAACTTGCAGTGAATGTGTGGCAGTCGGGGAGAAACCCCAGAATTTGGAGTGAAAGTGTGTGAGAGTGTGTGTTTCTGTGCCCTTGTTGGGGTGTGTGTTCGGGAGAGGTTGGGGGAAATCAGCTGTTGTACATTCACGGTGAGAGGTTGGGAGGCGCTGTCCTGCCGCGGCCTTCGCAGGCCAGGGAGGGCCAGGTTCAAGGGGTCATCTGTAGGTGTGTGTTGGTCAGCGTGGGTTGAAGTTGAAAGGTTGTGACAGGGTGGGTCGTTTCTTCTAGAGAAGGATGCATTTTCCTTTCTCCACCCAAGGGTTGTTCTTCATCAGCTCCGGGTTCAAGAAAGGATCCTCTGGGACGCCGTCCTCTATCCACTTTACCAAACTTTGAGGAGAGACAGAGAGAGACAAGAGACATTTTTTAAATTCCTGAGGGACTTTATTACTACAATCCATCCTCTATCCATTTCCTCTTTTCCATACAAGGCAAGAAAGAGAGAGAATCTGAGCAACCAGACGTAACTAATCGCATTACTTCTGCAGCTTTTTGGGTACTTTTACTTTTTGGACATTTTTTTTCTATTTTAATTAAGTCCTTGTGTACTTAACTGCAGTTGAAATCACATCCATTAAAAACTACAGCTGTAATTGGCTCTCCATAAACTTTAATAGTAGCGACCTTAATCAATGATGATTAGATGAATAATTTGTTTTTAGTTTTTGAGCTTTATTGGGAAATGTCCAATTTTTCCACTTGCATTAAAATACTGGGAAATAAAGTTTGTTCACTTCCTTGGCAAGAGCTGGATGCGATGACCAACAGCACTCTCAAGTATGAAATCCTGGCCAAGGAATAATCTGGCATACAACCCCCCCCCCCAAATTAAACAAACAAGATATAAAATGCTAATTAGTGAGCTTTAAATGTGGTGAATTTGCAGAACCAGGTTTGCTGACCCGCTGTTCTGCTAAACAGTGCTGCAGGGCTGAACCCGGAAATTAGTTCGCATTTTAGCACATCCAGTTTCCTTGTCCCAAAGTCTAATACGTTTTCATGTTTTGTTCTACGGCATAAAATATGTCAGTAAATACCCCAGTCATGATTTCTTTAAGCATTTCTGTGTCTTAGAAAACGGCCAGTTGCTAACAAATGGCTAAATGAGACGAATGACACTGCAGAGGTTGTCAGGGACATTATATATCATCATGCCAAACACAAAAATGAAGTTTATTAGTTGTGACATTGAAGTCACGTTTCCTGTTTCCTTTATAGCCTTATATTAGCTAACCTTACATGTTAGCTAATGTTAGCTAACTTTAGATAGCTGTTATTTCGTAACTGAATACGATCGTAGATTTTATTACTCCTTTTTGCTTGTGCTAATGTTACACTAGATTTTAACATGTCACAGATTAACATTTCAATAAATGCCATGTGTTTACTTCTAGTTTTACAGCTGACTCAGTAATGTCAGTTACACAGCAATAGTTATAAACTAACAACAGCCACCATAGCTACTGGGCAGACCAGATCAAGTGGCATAAAAAAACAGAAATTAGCAAAAGTGTGTTTTATTGCTTAGGAATGTGTAAGAGGAAGAATGTTTAATTTCTTCTCTCAAAAGTTGCATTTTCTCGCTTAAAATTCAGTTGAATATCCATCAAATCCTTCTCCTTGAGTCAGACAATGAACTCTTGTCATCAGTGCTACTTCTGTTTTTTTAATAGTTTTTTTTTTTTTTTTACTTTCATAAGACTTTCAAACCGGGTTTCAAAACACTGCCCCTGAATACTCTGGCACTCGACATGAAAAACGGCATCAGTCAAAAGACAGTCCGTTCGAGCAGAGCTGATGAAGCCTCAGATGAAGTGTTTTTTCAGAGTTTCCTTGATTGGCCCTTAATCTACTGGCACTGCTGTGAGAGCCTGAGGCAGACAAAGAGAGTGCTGTACAGATCCTAATGATGGCTGCAGCTTTGCTTAATGCTCAGATCTGCCCGTGGCTCTGACAGTAGCCTGCGAGGCGGTTGTAGTTAATGAAGTCATATTGCTGTTTTATCATTGTGCTGGAATGTCTAATGCTGTCATCACCAAAATCATTACATCTATTTAATCATATCACAATGAAGATATTTCCGTCTTTTGCGAGTGCCATTTATAATATTGTTGCATAAATTAATAAACCACTCAAAAAGCAACAACAAGCGAGTAAGTAGACCTTGGGTTGAGATTCTGTAAACTACTGATAATACTGTGTGTAATTTTGATTATTTGCGGTGTTCTCAATGTATTTGGAAAAAACAAGGGTATTTTATTTTTAACATCAGTACTCATTGTTCTGGGCTCTAACTCTGTGCATTAGTTTGTAGAGCTATTGTGGACTAACTACTCACTCAGTCACTGTTTTGGAGGACTTCTCTCGTTTGAAGGCCAGCTGGTACTTGAGGCTCTCCACCTCCTTCTTCATCTGGGGCAGGTCCATCTCATCCATGGCTGCAGCTTGATGTAGGGCTTTTCTACCTGTGCACAGCGAGAGGAGGATAGAGATATATTTGTACTGTTAAATAGTAGGCAGACACACTCAATACAACCCTGCCCTGCAGCAAGAACACCACGAAGTACATCTGATTTATAACCGCTGCTTAGAGATTCCACCTACAGGAAGGGAGAATAGAGGCTGTTAAATTCATAGAGTACAACCAAGTGCTGCCAAAACTGGCAGACCCACTTAACACCACAGGATATATTCAGTTGCCTTCTTTTGTGTCTCTTGAGCTGCATGTTTCCACTTCAGGAAAAGCTTCCATAGCTTTGTTGAATATGCCACATGCAATTTATGTTTGCAACCAAAATGACAGAAGTTCAAGGGCATCAATTTCATGCAAACCTTGGTTCATTCTTGTATATTGCCACCTTCAGTTTGGTGATTTCATACAACGATTAATGGCGTTGAGTTGGAGTTGAGTTGATTTTCAATACCTGAAAATGTTTTGCTTCCCTACCCAAAGAAAAGAAAAAGCACAGCATGTACTTGTGCTATGTCCCATTTCTTCTTATCACCCTCAACCCCCCCCCCCCCCCCCCCCCCCCCCCCCCCCCCCCCCCCCCCCCCCCCCCCCCCCCCCCCCCCCCCCCCCCCCCCCCCCCCCCCCCCCCCCCCCCCCCCCCCCCCCCCCCCCCCCCCCCCCCCCCCCCCCCCCCCCCCCCCCCCCCCCCCCCCCCCCCCCCCCCCCCCCCCCCCCCCCCCCCCCCCCCCCCCCCCCCCTTGATTGTATTGCGTGTGCTTCTGAAATGTACTGGTGTCCCAACACAAAACTTCACTCTGGGAGATAAGTGTGTAGCCACCCCCCTTCCCCTCCACATCCCACTGCATCGAGCACTGGATGAAAAAAAATACAGTTAAAAGGTAGCAGTGCAGCTTGAAACTGTGTGAGAACCTTTATTACAACCATGGGTGCTTGTACCCCTGGAGGTACTTCTGTGGATAGATTTTGGACTAGCTCAACTAATTTAAACACAAATATAAATTACATTTAAAAATGCAGTATTTCTTATACATACTGAGTCAACTACTTGTTGCAAATGAGAGTGTGTGACGTCTAGTGAGCAAGCAGTTGTCTAAATAGTTAGCAGTTAGCAATGGACAAATGGTTAAGCTAGTTAGCTAAATGTATTGGATAAATGATGAAAAAGCTGAAAGTAGTGGATAAATAGATGAATTAGCTAAAAGGAATTGGTGAACAGTATAACTACAAGTGCTGGATAAGTGGTTAAATAGGTAAAAAATAGGCTTATAAGTAAACAGTTAAAAGTAGTGGATACACTGGAGCGCATGCAACATAACCACAACATCCGTGGTTCGATTCTGGCAGAGTACCTTTGTTGTATGTCACATCCCTTCTCTCCCCCATGTTTCCTGTCTGCCTCTCTACTGCTGGCTTTAAAATGAAGGCAATAATAATAATAATAATAATAATGATAGGTAATATATACATATATATATATATATATATGTAGTATATCCACACCAAGTGGTCATGATACAGATGCAAACTTGATCAAGCAAAATTAAGAATTGCCAGCTGTATGAAACACATTTTATAATCACAATAGCCACTTTTGTGTTATTCAATCAGTGGAGTTGAATAACATCTAGATTAATCAATTCAACTGAACACATGTCAATGTAGGGGTACTAGAGTTCATCTGAGGCTGTCGGGGCACATCAGACAAAAAAGTTCATTTCACATTCGTTGACATGTTTCTATTCTACTGCTCTATTTTACTATAAGTCACAACTGGTGTCGCTTTTAATTTCACCCCTGTCCTTCAGCACTTTTTGGATGACTACCCCAACCCTCTGACATACAATAAGTAGTAGTAGTAGTACTAGAATTTCACCAAGATGCCAGGCCTGGATTTGGACACACAACTTTAATCATCTTATTTTGATTTACCAATGTTTGGAGGCTCCTAAGTGAGGACATGACAGTGCGGTTTAGACATGTAGGCTGTTTGTGTGCTCACCGCATAACAGGCCCTTGTCATTTAATGGCCTCTGTGAGGAAAGGGATAAAGTAGACACTTGAACAAATCCCATCTAGTGCTGACAGGAAGACTGTTAAAAGGAAGGAGAGGCTACTAGCTGTGCCAAATGTATAAGATATTATTAGTATTTTGTCCTGTGTAGGAAATGCCCTCCTCTTTTCTTCAGCACGGTTTCTGTATACGACACCTGCACTGCTCAGATTTCTGAAGATTGGATTTTCCACACAAATCTTACACGAAGTTTCTAAAACTGTATGCAGCTGCAAAATCTGAGCCACCCACCCAGCACAATATGAACAGCTCTCCCTTTACACAGCCTGCAGACATTAAAGCATCCGTAATATGCACTTTAAGAGGTCGTATCCATTTCAGAAATGCATTTAGCTAAAGACAAAATCCATCCTATGGAGACAAAACGGCGCATTTTATCACGTCATATCATATTAGCTGTAATTAAAGTTGAATATTACATACTGTATGACACAATGTGCAGGAGATTAAACCATACTTATTTAACTGATAGTGTTGTGGCACATGATGTGCAGTTATGTGAGGATTTCAGTGCAGCCTTCTAGGACACTACAGCCTTGGGTGAGAGGAAGAAAGACACACGTAACCAGGTCAAAGTCATGGCTAACTACAGCTAACTGCAGGACTGCACTCCTGTGTGAATGTATTGTGGTATCCAGGTTAACTGAGACTTTCAGCATCCTTTTAGTATCTAAGAACACTTATTGCTGCAATTGAGAGCTCTTTCTGTCTTTCTCCTTTCCAACCACTCAAATATCTGAGTTCAGTTTGAGACGTGGTTCGCCCAGCTTAGCATCAAGAGCGAAGGCGGGAAGAAACAGCTAGCGTGGCTTTGTCTACAGTGAAATAAAACAACTACTGGCAACTGTGATGCTCACGTTGTATCTGATTTGTTTAACCTGACAGAAATGAAAAAGAAAATAAATAAAATAAAAGGCTTATGTGGTTTTAAGGGGCATTACTTGCTGAAACTAACTGCCTCTACTGTAATTTCTGTCCGTGTAGATTAAATATACAATAATGAGCTTTAAGAGATGTTGATAGGTGTAACATGTCCTCACTCTAGCTACTCAATGCACAATTGTGGTGTTAATCTTCTCCTCTTACTCTCAGAAGTACAGGGAATAAGTATTAATTTTCCCAAAACTTCAAACTATTCCTTTTAAAGACAGGATATATTTAGGACTTATTATAGCCCACACATACACATTCAGTTGTGAAGTGTTAGAGTGATGTGAAATTGATTTTGGCCCATCCACAGTTTACTAACTTGGCATGTCAGGAACAGAAAATATACTTTATCACATAGTCTATATACAAATAATAAATAATTCAACTCTCTATAGCAATGTTGTCTTCTTCTCTTCCGCTGCGTCTTTTTCTTTGTCTCTTCCTCCCTCCTGCTCTCTCGCACTCCCCACCCACGCTCTCTGTCCACTATACTCTCTCAATAATACTCTTCCCCTCTTGTGAGTGTGTGTGTGTGTGTGTGTGTGTGTGTGTGTGTGTGTGTGTGTGTGTGTGTGTGTGTGTGTGTGTGAGTCATTTGAGGATTCGGGGCGAGCCGAGTGCTTGTGTAGTCTGCACTCAGAATTGATCTCACTAAGGTGCTTCAACACAGGAACAACTCTGGTATTTTTAAGGGACATTAAATAATACTTGATATTATGCAATTGTTCTTTATGACAGTTTAGTGAGTGAGGGGGCATTTTGAGGCAGGAAACAGCACCTCTGAATACAACCACTACTTCACCGCACGGTCAGCATGCTAATGAATATCAACCATTTTTATGTTTAAATGGTTCTCAAAGTCTCTACTTCTGTTTTTGCCAAAATGTACTGTAGGTGGTGGTTGGAAAAAACTGGAAAAATGTCAAGTAAAAATACAACTTTAGCTTTTTCACTTCTGATTTCAGCTACTTAACTGTATTTTTATTTGAACGTCTCAGTCACATGCGAGTACTATCACAGCTTTGTGACCAGTGATTGAAAAGGAGAAAGGTTGTGGCTCAAAAAAGGAAAGAATGGCACTGAGAAAGATGTGTGTCCTTTATTGAGTCTGAGGAAAACACCCAGGTGCAATATTACACAACGACGTATGTGTGTGTGTGTGTCCTACCAATATTAGACAGAGATAGAGAGAGAGGCAGAGCGACGGGCAGGTCCTGAATGAGATCAGGTTTCAGCAGCATCCTCCAGAGACGACAGGAGGATTGGATGCTTTCCTCTCTCTAACTCTATCACTCACCATCTCCTTCACCCCTGTTTTCACTGCGTACTTCTCCTCCACATTTACTCCTATTTTTCTACTCTATCCATCAGTTTCCCAGCACCTACCTCCCTTCCTCCCTGTCTCTTTGTCTCACTTCTTCTCTGCAAGTGTCTCTGTCTGTCGGCCATTTTTTTCCTACTAATTCATTGTCTCATCTTTCTGAAAGAGGTCTGGTCCAAGTTTTGGGGAAGACTGGCTTTAGGTGGTGGGTGATGGGACACTGTACAGCTAAAGATCACTGCATGAATGCCAGGAAATGCTCTAAAAACCAACAGTTATACTGATTTAAAACTATGTAACAGCAGCTTTAGCCTCAGTCTTTTAGTTGTCTCCAAGTGCACCTGGAGACAATGAGCTAAAATTAGCTTAATTAGCCTGACTGTTGTCATTTCAGCCCACAAAATCAACATCTCCAGGCTACAAATGAAAAGCCTGTTTTTTTTTTCTATCAAATCTGCCACCGTTATCACTGTAAACGGCATATACAAGTGCCTAAACCGTAAGAAAGGTTTGAGCGGTTGTTGCATTGTGAAAGTGGTGCAGGAAAGCAAATGAAATACGTTGTGAAATGCTTTGGTTATATGTTCAGTACCAACATTTTGCAACTTCCAAGATTCGTTAGTTAACAGGTTTTCTTCTCTACTTTGGTAAAGAAAATATATTCAGTGAGTTTAAGCAAATGGGAAAGTGGTCTCAGACTTTTGGCACCACTGCGTATACATACTGTACATATACAGTATATGATCTTGGCAGCATTACATTCCCTTCAAAACATCTTTGTTGTTTGAAACAAGTATATAAACTTCACTTGTAGGATTGCATGCTATACACACCCAGAAAAGTGACCATCAGATCAGAAACCTGAAGAACTTTTTCACTTATGTGCCCAGTGAGATACTTTCTAGAGAAGGGGCTTATCTTTTACCACACTATCCAGTTCTCATTATACTGTACAAGTACAAGGAAACAGGTGATTTTGGTGTCAGTGTAAGTAAATAGTCTCCTACATAATTACTGTAAATCCAGATGCAAGCAAAATTTCATAAAAACCCTCAACAAGGAAACCAAAAAAACCTCACAAACAGATAATAGTATTTCTGTAATTGTACAACTGTAACTACAATATTTGGCCTTATAGGGATATATAGATAATGTACTAATACATTTATTAAAAGCAATGTTTTTAAACCATATTGTCCCTCCATTTTCTCCTCTCATCTATCCACCTGCCCAGCCATTATATTCTCCCCATTCTCTTCTCTCCCCATCATTTACCTCTTTCCATTTTACTGTGTCCTTCTTCTCAAATTACTCTGCCTGTTATTTGCTCAATACCCTCCCATGTCTCCGTGTGTTTATCTTCTGCATCTCTGCTACCAGCTAATTAAAACCTGTGCAAACTCTAAACCTCAGACACCGCGCCATGTAAACATTACACTCGTAAAGATTGAAGTGGCTTACTGTTGTCTTAATACCATGAGGTTTATATCACAAAGAAGAATTGAGGCAGGAAGCCCCTCACCCCACCACCTTCTCACTTTCCTCCTCTCATTGCTCTGATATCTGTTTTCTGTCTGTCTCCCGCTGTCTTCCACGGATGACTCCTCGCTAAGTGCTCCCTGTCCATTTTGACAAATTCCACACAGTTAATCCATTTCTCCACACATTAGCAATCTCTCTCTCTCTCTCTCTTTGTTGCCCAGCCAGGAGCTTGTCAGCCGCGGTTCCTCGCTGATAAAACCATCCAAAAATTACATATTATACCTCAACTAGCACTCATATTTAAAGGTGATAGTGAAATATATTAAAACACCAATATCTCTGACACATTTATTGTGATCACTTGATACAATGACTATAAACTAATTTCAAACACCCCTATCTGCTTGCTGTCACAGGGAAGACCTTGACTTCCTCAAAGTGTCTGGCACTCTACCATCTGCCGTTCAAAGAAACTAAAAGCTTTGCTTCGTGTTCACACAGGATATGGTAAGGATGTGTACCGGCAGTCGTCTGCTGGCTTTTGACTTCCACGTTAATGCATTCTCAGGAGGTGTAGATTTACACGCATACACGAATGAATTCATACTCAACAATCAACCTGAGTGCAATGCTGTTGTTATAGTTGGTTAATTCACATAGTTTAAAGTGTTTTTTTTTTTTTTTTTTTTTTTTTGCTGATGATTCATGGAACATACGGGGCAGTTTGCAGGATCTTGTTCACATGATCAAGCTACCTGGACTTTAAATCAATGTATAGAGACACATTGCTTGGGGATTTACTGCAACACCCTGTTGTGGACTGGTGTTGCAGCAACATGAGTATTGAATATGGACTCAGTGCTATACGGGCCAACACTGCCACTTCGAGTCCATACGTGTGGGCAACAGGTGGATTGGTTATGCAGGAATTGTATCAGACCATCAGGCTGGTTATGGACATCTTTGTTTAGTCTAACGACACCACTAAGTGGTCTGGGATAAGTGGCATAAATCTGATTTATGCTAGGACAATAAAGTCCTTGATACACTCCCCAAGAAATGGAGACAGCGGGACGGACAACAGACACAGTTCCGTTCATACAACACTGAGTGTCTGCATATGAGCACACGTCAGTGCCTTGAGCTAAATGCTAACGTCAGTATGCTAACATGTTGATATTTCACCATGTTCACCATCTTAGTTTATCGGTTAGCGTGCTACCATTTGTACAGCTGAGGCTGAAGGGAATGTCAAAACTAAAGTATTGGAGAACTTAAACCTCCGACCTGATGGTGGCACTCGATGAAAGGTTAAGGGATCTGCAAAGTTATTACAGTTCATCCTGTGGGCAACATTAGTGTCTGTGTCGAATTTCACATTTTTATTAAAAACCACAAATGTTAGCTCATGGTGACACTAGGGGGAAAAGTCAGGGGATCACCACGGTAATTAGGATTTGTCGTCTGGGAACCATGAATGTCTGCACTAGATTTCATGGATATCCATTCAATAACTGTTGAGATATTTCAGTCTGGACCAAAGTGGCGGACCAACCACATATTTTTCCTCTGCTGCACTGGATCATATTGTACTGTGCGAAGTGTTTTCGCTGAATCACTGCAGAAATAAACTTCTACTCATCTCATACATAATCTGTACACCGTCTGAACAAGGCTTTGTCTGTGTTTGCACTGAAACAACAGTGCCGTGTGCTGTCTGGCAGATTCGTCATGAAGTCTGACCTGGAGCTAAAAACTAATGATTGAACACAGTTAGTACAGAGGCCGATCTGGATGGCAGCGGTGTCATTTTTTACAGTATTCATACTGGAATTAATATTAATAATTCACTGATGTAAACTTGGTACATTATTACATCCAAACCAGAGCGGTAACAGGTAATGTAAAGATAAATGTAGTAAAACCTAGGCCCAACTTCAGCTTCAGTGTATGCAGCGGTTACTGTGATGGATATGAAGCTGTAAAGTTTAAACTGGGACACGTTTCCATGAAGGGAGGTCACGTTTGCCTCAAGATTATGCTCAAGTATCATAAAAGATGTCAGTTAATTAATTAAGTTAATTACATTTTCTTTATTAACATTATTTTTGGAAATCTTCTAATCAAACATTTTCTTCCTCTCTCCTGCAGTAGTAGCTTCGCATGTTTTGTTTCAAGTAATTAACAACTCACTGGGCAACAATGGAAATTTGTCGTTGGGTCAAATGTTATTTATGTGTGTGTGTGTGTGTGTGTGTGTGTGTGCGCGCGTGTGGTGTGTGCTTTATAAGATATGTTTGGGTGGGTGTGGGGAAGGGAAAGTGGGGTGGTTGTTTTAGGGGAGGGTATGTAGGTCGCATGGTGATTTGGGTCAAAAGCATCCAGAGATTAACCTCTACCCCCTGTCTCCTCCACTGTCTTCCCAGCCTCCAACAGTGATGTACTGCAATGTGGAGCAGGTGGCAGTGCGCGAGCTGCTACCAGCGTTTAATGTGTTAAATCGCTCTATCTGACTAGTTGAAGGTTTAACTGTTAAACCAAAAGGTGGAAGGGACATGAGGATGTGATGGTGGGTGAACGAGGTGCAGACAAAACGGAATACGATTAGATGGTGAAGGATGAATAAGAGGTAGAGAGACAGATGAGGAGAAACAGAGTGAGCAACTCTTCTTGCCTCTATAGCTACTGCATTGTAAATAGAGACTAAAAATAGAAAGGAACAGGCAGAGCGCCTCTGACCAGCTGAGAGTGGAGACTAAGACAGAAAGAAGAGGCGCCATGCCGTTAAACTGAGGAGAAGATGCTGCTGAGGATAATAAATGCCAGACACTGACAGATGATGTTTGAGCTTTTACAACCAGGCGATCCGCTCGGCACCTCAATGAGCTCTGAAACCACTGGGACCAGTCCAGCTGATATCACACCAGCACGGCCCTGGCTACACGGGGGAAGTGTTCCAGTCGATCACATCTGATCAATACAGGCCTGAACTGGACTGGATGGAATAAATGTTTGCATGTGTAAGGACACACTAAGGTCAGCTGTTACATATCTGCCTCCACTGTACTGTCATTGTAAAGAGCCTCATCAGAGATCTGAGTGATGGTCCCTCACCATGTCTGTGTGTGTATGGGGGGCCGAGAAGGTGATAGTTAGTTGGCTTATAAGTATTATGGAAGGATTACTGAACAGACCCAGGGGTCCCTGGAGTAAAAAGTCAATCAAATGAGTACAAAGAAGCAAAAAAGGGGCTACAAAGAGACACAAAATGACTACAAGGAGACGTAAATCAAACACAAAGAGACACAAAATGACTACAAATGACTATAAAGAGGCATAAAACAAACACAGTGATGCTAATTAACCATAAAGAGAAACCAAATGACTACGAAGAGGTGCAGAACAACCCCAATGAGACACAACACAGCCACAAAGAGGCACTAGAGTGGTCATATATTTCAAATTGTTTATTTGGCATTCATTTATCACACTGAATAAACCATGTATCCATTAATAATGTACAATGTTTATTATACCCAAGAAACAGGGCTTTAGTTTTTGCTCCTTTTTACAAATGTACCCCCTCTTCTTTAAAATTAGAAAAAAAATTTAAAAAGTGCCCCACTCCAGGAGCAGAACGAGGCCAGAGAAAGACATGAGAAAGGAGGAGGAGGAAGTGCAGAGGAGAAATGTAAGTTTTATGTAATATTCGTGGGTATTGAGGTGTGTGTGCTGGGGAGCTGGAGGCGGACAAAGTATGAAATCCTCCACCCAGATAGTTGCACTTTGTGAAGTAGCTGCACTTAAAATAAACTACTGATGACACACGAGCACATATAGTCTACATGATTCTTCTTTCTTTATTTTTACCTCTAATAAATAGCATCTAGAATTTCCTTTTTTGGGGGGATAATTTGACCCCCATTTCGTAAATATAGATCATGCAAACTCGTTTTTTGCTGCAGAAAGGCCTGCAGCTAATATGCTAATAGAGACCCCATTGTGCTGGCACAACAGGAGCCGTGAACGACTGTAATTGTGTAGTGTGGCTAACGGAGACAGTCGCATCTCTTACCTCACTGATGCGCCGGCGGAGGCTGTTGCTCTTTCCAAGTCTGACCGGTGCAGTTTAACCGGAGGGCGGGCAGGGAAGACAGCTGGACCGGCACACGGATAAGAGGATTTTAATTTCCCTGATATACAACAAATGAGAGCTGACTTAATGTCCGTAGACTTTGTTGGTCTCGGGGAGGCGGCGCGCACTCTCGGTATCCACTGGAAAAGATCAAGGATAAAATCCGCAGTCTCCGGAGTAAAACAGACGATGACGACCGGTCTGAGTCTGTCTGGAGAGCTGGAGGAGACTCTTCTTACCCGCTGCTGAGCCCGATAGTCCGGGTGGTTGTAGCTGCTGAAGCTGCTCCGATAAGGAGGAGGAGGGCGAGGAGAGGGGGGGCAAATATCACGAAGCGGACAAGTTAACGAGCTGGTCCGGTGCGCGCTCCGCCGTTCACTGCCCCGCGTCTCTGCTGGGATCCTCCTATATGAGCGTCCGTGCGTGTGCGCGTACACGCGCGTTTGTGTGTGTGTGTGTGTGTGAGCGAGAGTACAAGAAGGAGAGAGAGAGAGAGGGAGAATTTTCTTTGAGGATGCGTATAGAGAGTTGACCAGGCGAGGCGGGGGGACGGGAGAGGGGGGGGGGGGGTGGTTGAGCAGGTACCACTGTTCCACAGTCAAGGAAGCAAAGACTTGAATCTGTCCTCACTTTCACTCTCTCTCTCTCTCTCTCTCTCTCTCTCTCTCTCTCTCTCTCTCTCTCTCTGTCTCTGTGTGGACCCTTTTTCGCCCCCATTGCCAGACTCTGGGATTTCTGCCCTAATATGGCCACTTATAGCTCCATCTGCAAAAGACAGATTTGGTTTCCCACTGAGAGGGAAAAAAAAACATATTTGGGTTTGTTTAATTTCACATATGAGAGATACTGCATTGGAGCTGAGACACCACAGAAGAAGAGCTGGAGCTTGCTTGACAATGCATGTTGTGTGTACAGTTTAATTGCTGATGCAATGATTGTATTTTTATTTGCTAATAACAAGTTTATGTGTCTGTATAACCCCTGGGTTACATTAAGTCTTTAGCACATTTTGAGTTGTGATAACTTGTTGAGAAATTAAGTTGCATTTCACACAACCTGTTTGAGACATCTCCGACACTCAGCTGATCTATTTTCGTCCCCAAACACTCCCCAGGGAGCACTGCTGCTTTCAGAACCAGACATTTTCAGATGGCTCGATTCCAGGAAGTCAGCAGGAGAAAAAAAAATCACTCTCCAAGTAATCATTTTATTTTTTAATTTAATACAGTTTTCAGAGAACTAACTGAATAGAATGATAGAAATTAATAAAAAATTATCAAGGTCAAACTTAAGCACAAAAGCAGCCGTGAAACATTTACCACTTCACTGTGATCACCCAACAGATGCTTCTACATTGAAGTGTGCAGGAAATATTTTGTTTTCTTGTGTTGAATACAATAAACTCCAGCAATGGTTTGTAGTTCTGTACTGTAGTTCTACAAAGATTGTATGTTAAAATCACTTTTTTTATATATATATATGATAGTTGGTTATGTTTTAATGTATTCATCTGGTCATTGAAAACACGTGTAATTAAAGAATGTCTTCTATTTTAGGGTAATAAAGAAAATGTATACAGACTGTTGAATGTGTTGAGGCTCATCATTTAAAAAAAAAAGTGGTCAGTTGAGGACAAAACTAATAAAACTAAGAAATGCAAAAAAACCCAAACATTCCCATGTCTTTGTTTAGACAGAACGTCAAAGGATTTACATAACATCGTACGTATTACTCATTCAGTCTGTATGGTGCATAATGACTTACATTTTCAATTGAATTCTCAAAGCAAACACATTCATCAGTCCAGCAGCTTTTCGTTTGGAGAAATGCTTGAAGAAACACTGTGCATGAAAGAATGGATGATAAATGTAGTTTGTTGGATTTAACATGGAGAACTCAATGGAAACCAAATTTAACCATAAACTAGAAAAGAAGATTTATATTTGCTGGCTGCTGAACCTTCACAGTTGAAACATCTGAAATAGTTGTAGTTGAAGTGGCAGTTAAAATAGAACTGCTGAAAGAAGCTGAAGTGTCAAATACAATGTAATTACTGAGTGAAGCTGAAGTGTCAGTTGAAGTGTAGGTGATACACTGGGCTAGACGTGTCAGTTGAGGTGGAAGTAATGAAAGATATTAATGTTATTTCAACTGAGAGACGATGTCAGCTGAAGTGTGGGCTGAGGTGTATAAGCACTGAAAGCAGTAAAAAATGTTCCAGCAACGGCAGCAATAGTGGTTTGTTTGTCATAAACAGACAGATAACAGGCAGTGACCTCCAGAAACCCAAACAGGAAACCCATGAAAAGACATGATGGCACTGATTTTGGAGGAGGTGCACTGTAAAAACATACACATTACTGTAAAGCTTTAATTCACATAAGGAAACAAGAGTCATGGATTATTCCTTCAAAAAGAGAATGGGGAAAGCACCTGATTTAATAATTGCATATATTTTCATTTCTAATAGTGAAAACCAGTCAACAGTGAGACTTGAGTGGCGGCTGCATCTATCCTGTCCTCAGATTTTGCAGTCAGAGCAGAGCAGCAGTCGTCCCTGGTGTAGTCAGAGCTGATATCCACTTCTGGCTATCAACAAACTGTTCTTACAGATAGGGGTCCAGTCTGGACAGCTCTCCCAAGCAGCACTTTATTCACTCTATGATAACATCACACTAAATGACTTTCAGCCCAGTGTCTCGCTTAAACTGGCCATCTTTTAAAAAAATGAATCAGCAGATTTGAGTAAATTGGCACCGTCTGTCAGCAGTGGTCTTGTAATATGAGATAGGACACAGGACTCAAATTTAACGTCTCTAAATCAGATGAGGATTTGTCCTTGATTCACAGATAAGATTCATATGAAGGCAGGTTTGAAAAGAATAGTTTGACGTTGTAGGAAATAAGTTTAATCTTTTTCTTGCCAACAGTTAGATGAGAAGATCTTTACCACTTTCATGTCTGCATGATAAATGTGCAGCTGTAGCAAGCAGCTAGTTAGCGTAGCTTAGCTTAAAGACTGACAACAGAGGGAAAGAGTTAACCTGGCTCTGTCCAAAGGTAAAAAGAAAAATCTGCCTACCATCACATCTAAAGCTCACTAATTAACACAGTATATCTTGGGATGTCACACACACATGCACACACCACCATATAGTCAGTGTTCAAACAATAGTTTAAATTGACTAGCAAGGTGACAGATCCATGGAGTGAAAATATTCATTTAAAAGGTCAGTGTTGTATTTCCACAGACTGAACGGTAACAACAGTCGTCTACTAATGTTGTGAGCATCCAGCTCACATTATGAGCCACCGCTACGTTAGTCTAGACAAGCTAACGTTAGCTTAGACAAGCTAACGTTAGGTGCATTGATACAACAGATTGCTAACTGTTGCACTCACTCACCCTGAACTCTGTGTACAGATCCAGATGTCTGTCTTTGAGCTGCTTAAATAAGTTTAAGGTGTTTCCTCCTATAATTTGAAATTTTCTGCAGCACCATTTGCATACTGGCTTTTGGTGGCCTATTACTTGTGTCAAATACCAAATATCTCCGTACATCACTCTTCAGAGTTATTATACTGCCCTCACCAAATCCTACAAAATACCTTCAGTACTATAAACAAACGTTGTCATATTTCCAGAAAAAGTATTGGTTCTCGTGACACCCCTTGTTATATCTCACTGGTTTAATCCATAGTCAAAGTGTAAGTGTAAAAAGATCAATTAGCACTGAAGTCTCTGCTGGTTGCTTGGCAACTGCTTCCAGTCAAGAAATAGTCCGGCACATAACTCCATGTAAAATTGTGAATTGACTTCAGTTTTGCTATTGATTTAAACAAACAAGGTTTTGGTAGGTGGATTTTGTTACCTACTGTCTGTGGTCCTGTACCAATTTGAAGGATTGGTTATAGGGCCAACCCAGGCATATTTTAATGGATCGGTATAGCTAAAATAAACCACATCAAAATCTGATTTTTTCCTTTGGCTTCTGTTTAGTCCACCTCAGCCTGATACTGTTGCAGACACCACTCCTCGTAATGACAGCTCCACAGTGTGAGCATTTCACTGCATGTAGGAGCGAAAATTAAGATGTGACTGATTCTGTTCTGACACACAAGTTGGCAAAATACATGGATTCACCAAGTTCCAGTGATGATGAAGCTGTCATCTCTAATCCAGAGTAGAAAATATTCAGGTGGCAGTTTCTCTTTAACTGGTTAAAATGACAAACATCGCTGGAGGTCATATCAGATATCATTAATTAACATCAGTTCCAAAATTAAACTTGTCTGTTGTCGTGTTTGTCTGTAGTCATCAAAGATTGTTTATGAGGTAAAAGAAGGATCACATAGTAACACCACTGTTCAACCATGAGTGGACTGTTTCTGAAGTCCAACAGAATGATTCTGATGTGATCAGTCTTTTGATTCTTTTGATCACTTCATGTCAATTCACATCGCATCACATTCTCCCAGTTAAGCTTTAATCCACATCATCTTATCAACATTAATTATAGTTTTGAATCAGATAATTATTTGGATCAAGTAGCTTGTGAAAGTAACCAAATGTAAAAGGACACAGCTGTTATTTCAAGGTATCAGATACTTGTATTGCTATTTGATTTAGGTAAACATGAGCATCATCAGACTCAGTACTGACAGATATTCTATATCCAAGGACTCAGATCAGGACCGGGGCCAAAAGGCTTGATTGGGACATCCATACTGCAGACAGAGCCCAACTAGCTGTTTCCATCTTTTTCCAGACCTTATGCTGGGCTAAGCTAACCGGCTGTTCGACGTAGTTTCGTATTTACAAGAAAGAAAACAAGTGTGCTTCACAAAATGTTTAACTATTGCTTTAAATGTCTTGTACATTCTCTGGACATACGCACACAAAAGCAGTGAACGATAAGTCATCTCTAAAGAGCACACTCAGCACCGGTCCCATCACAAGTAGACAGCTCAGTGCTAATAATAAAATCAGGATGGATTGAGATCACCATCACCATCAGCGCCGCTCCACCACGCCTAGATTCACACCCAGGCATGTGTAACGATGTCCTCCCCAGACACTGATCCGGTTTCAGCCCATCAATTTCTTCTCCCAGTATTGAGTTCAGGAGTAACTCCCCCCAGTCTCCATGCGAACGGCTGAAGTTAATGGAATGTCATTATTGTACTACTATATACTGTCATTGTTGGGTTATTCTATTTTTTAAAACCTAAACATTATATTATTTGTGTAATATATGTTGTGAAGATGGAAGATGCTAAAACAGGACTGGGAGAGATGAAGGGAAAATTAATTTAGTTTAGTTATCATACACCCTCCTCTCCCCCGACTTTAACCGATATCACA